CCCACATCGGGCTCCCTGCTCTGCAGGAAGCCTGCTTCTCCCATTCCCGCTCCCCCTGCTTGTGTTCCCTCTCTCGCTATGTCTCTGTCAAATAAATAAATAAAACCTTTAAAAAAAAAAAAAGGAAATATGGACTCGAGTATTTAGGGGATAATGTACACAACTTACTCTCATTTCAGATAAACACATACGTATATAAAAATGTGCCTATGTAAGAGCACAAATGAATGACAGAGCAAATGGGGCGTAAGTGTTAACGGGTAAGTCTGGGTAAAGGGAGAAAGTTCTTTATAACTATCCTCCAGCTTTTCTGCAAGTTTGAAATTGTATCAAAATAAAGTTACCCAAAAAAGAACAGACTCACCTTTCATCATTATTCAGTATACTTAGCACAGGATCCACAGATAGGACACCATATAACTCAAGAACATCATTGACTTTGAAACAATCCCAGTCTTCATAGACCTGATAGGAGATCATAAGAAATCACATTGTTAGGACTAAATAACACCAAAAAAATCTAAAATATTAGTTTTAAGGTTAAAGTAATAATATCTTAGATTTTTAGGTCAGGAAATGGACCTTAAAGCAACTCTTTTATTTCATAAATTGAAACCAAGAGAGGTAAAATACTTGCCTGAAGTCATTCTCCTAGTTAGCAATTAACAACTAAAACACAGGACTCCTGACTCCCATACCAAGGTCTGTTGTCAATACACCACATTACTTCGAAGAAAAGGTTTTCCCAAAGGATGATGGTCAACTAACATTAGAGACACACGTTACTGGGCACTTGGGTGGCTCAGTTGGTTAAGCGTCTGCCTTTGGCTCAGGTCATGATCCCAGGATTCTGGATGGAGTCCCACGCTGGGCTCCTTGCTCAGCGGGGAGTCTGCCTCTCCCTTCTCCCTCTGCCTCTGCCCCTCCCTCCGCTCGTGCTCACGCTCTCTCTCTTCCTCTCTCAAATTAATGAAAAATTAAATCTTAAAAAAAAAAAGAAAGAAAAACCTGCATTACCTCAAAATCTATTAAGTACACACAGAGAAGGGGGAAAAAAACCAGGATTACTAAGGATTACTAACTTTGGACTTATTCACCAACTATGCACCATTAGGAGGATTAACACAAAACTCAGGCCATGAGGGTTTTCACAATAAAACTTTCAAAGTTATCTGTCTTTGATGGACTCTAGTAACTGTCAAAGCCTCCTCGGGGTGAGACTGAACTGAAGCATGGCAGGAAACTGTCCTCACTCTGGTCTCTGTGGTAAAGAACTGAAGGGCCATTTAAGTTAAAACCACAAAATAAAAGAATGGAAATTCTCAATGATCATTTCTGAAACTTATATTGCTTGTTTCACCTATCAGGATCAAAAAAACAAGGTAAGCAAGATAGAACAAACTACCAACAGATTTTTTGCCTTCTATTTTATTTTAAATACAAATGAGAAATGGATTTTGATGAGAGAGGAATGTTGAAAATGTTAGATATTGTTGGAAGCTGGAAATGACATAGGAGGTACACATGAATTAAAAAACTGTACCACTTGTTTTCAAAATATTCTTCACATTTTTTTTGAAGTGAGCTCTACACTCAACATATGGGGCTCAAACTCACAACCCCGAGATCAAGAATCACAGGCTCCACTGAATGAGCCAGCCAGGCGCCCCATATTCTTCAATTCAAGAATGCCATGGTAGGCAGAACATGGCCTCTCAAAGACGTCCACATCCTAACCCCTGCAATCTGTGAATGTTACTTTACAAGCAAAAAGGGATGTGTGTAAATTCAAGACCCTGAGATGAAGAGATTATCCTGGATTATCTGGTTGGGCCCAATCTAATCACGAAGGTCCTTAAAATCAGAGAATCTTTCCTACCTACAGTCCGAGGGAGAGGTGACTATGAAAACATGCTGGCTTTGAAGATGGAAGAAGGGGCCCCAAGCCAAGGAATGTGAGCAATCGTAGAAGCTGGAAAAGGCAAGAAAACAGATTCTCCCCCAGAGCATCCAGAAAGGAATGCAGCCCTAAGGACACCTTGATTTTATCCTCAGTGAGATCCATGTTGGACTTCTGACCTAAAGCCTGTAAAATGATAAATTTTTGTTGTTTTAAAAGCCACTAAAGTTGTGAATATTTGCTCCAGCAGCCACAGAAAACAAACACAAATGCTAAGAGTATTCTAGGTTAACTTCCAAGACACATTCCACATCTACGTTAAGGTCAGGTGTATAAAAGGTTTAGTACCTTCACGAGGCATGCAGGGCCCTTCTCCCCTGGCAGTGGAAAATTCAGGTCAAAGGGAGAAGAGAGGTTCAAGAAGTTCAGCTGTTGGCCAGTAGAAGCTTCAGTTTCTAAACGTTTTGGCTCTCCACACCACTGAAGACCACCAACACTCCCTAAAATCAAAGAACAGCACTGTACTTAGTCATTTTTAAGGCTTCCTGGAGAGAAAGAACATTCCTAAAGAGCCTTTCAAGTCTGATATAAATGATGCTTCTGAACTCAAAAATTTCAAGCTGTTATAGTTCTTAAGGAAGTACATATGCTAACAAAGCCTTTGTCTGACCTAAAAGAGAACAAAGATTATAAAGATCTGAAAAATTTAATCATTTCTCCGATACAATAAAATGGCAAAATACTCCCCCCTTCAAATCTCAAGTGTAAGTATTTTAAAAGTTAATATTTAATAGTTACTTTGACATCTTTAACCTAAGAAATACATTGTCTACTGATAACAAACCCACCTTGGTAGAACATACTTTTTCTACTTATTACGCAGAATAAAATCATATAGTAATAAATTCATTTACCAAATACTTAGTAACATCCATTGTGTAACTAGGAATCAGACTAGTTGTTGGGGATACAAAGATGATTTTAAAAATGCCCTCTCTCCCTGAAGTGGTCATAGCTTAGGGCTTATAACTAATTAGAATCAACAGATAGTTTGCCACACCGTAAAATATTGTTCAGCAATAAGAAGGAATAGACTATTGATACACGCAACAATGGGGATGGATCTCAAGTTTTGCTGAATGAAAAAAGCCAATCCACAAAGTGTACATACTATATGATCCCATTTACGCAACTTATTATTTTTTGGGGGGGGTTAATGCTAGACCGGAATCTTTTTTTTTTTTTAATAATTGAAGTATACTTGACTATGCAACATTCTTGCAATAAAATAACATTAGTATAGAGATGAAGAATGTATTAGTGTTTGCTAGGGGTTAGGGACTTGTGGGGAGGGGAGAGGCAGGAGAGCAGTGGGCAGGACTCTAAAAGGACAACTCAAAAGATGTACGCAATGAACTGTTCTGGATCCTGACTGTGGCAGTGGTCCCATGAGTCTACACATGATGACACTGCCCAGAACAAAATACACGCACACAAATAAGTGCATGTAGGAAATGTGAATCTAAGGTCGGTGCGTGGTAGCAATGTCCATTTCCTAGTTATGATATTCTACTAGAATTATACAATATGTTACCATCAGGGGAAACTTATTTCTTACAGCTACATGTGATCTACACTTATCTCAAAAAAAAATTTTTGAATATATATAGCTTGAAAGATTACCTAGAAACTGACAAACAAGTTATGCTGTAAATAATGCACTCAAATGTACAAAAAACCCTACAGTCTAACATCCAAATAAAAGCAAAAAAGAGGAGAGCGCATCAGTTGCTTAGGTGATAACAGAATTACCATATATCCTGGATTCTAATGTTACTTATTGTTATGATACACCATTAATTTTAATAAACATTTGGGGGGTGGGTGAAGAAAAAGAACACCCCCACATTTGTATAGATTTACTATAAAACATTCCGATACTAAAAACATTAAAATATGCCTTAGCTCTAAGGAAATATAGTAATATTAACTTATAAAATATGAAAATATATGGTTAAATGAAATTCATTAGTAATTCTTTGTTTGCCACTCTCAACCCAATCTTACAGATGCCCCCTAACTAGACTGACTTGTTTGACCCCCTCGCCCTTCCACTTGCCCTCTGATGATGGTCCTAAAGAGAAGTAAGTGACTGGACACAAAGGTAGGAATAAAGACAAACTTATCTACCTGCCACAATAAAGACACTCACTGTTCCTAAACACCGTGATTGGTGAAATCAAGAATGAAATATGCCAATTCTGAAACTGTCTCATGCTCTTAGATATTACAACTTTTGATCCCCCTGCGTTAATCAGAATTTATTGGGTTTTCAGCATGTTTCGAGACAAACCACTACAAATGTGCGTAAATAGAACAAACAGAACTATGACTATTCTAAGGGCTCTCTGCTCTGAAGTTGAGGACAAAGTTACCTAGTGCACCACAATTTCATGGTTTTCCTCTATGTTTTCAAACTCAATAAATTAAAGTACCACTATCTTGGGACACCTGGCTGGCTCAGTTGGTTAAGCATCTGCCTTTGGCTCAGGTCATAATCCCAGGGTCAGGCTCCCTGCTTAGCGGGGAGTCTGCTTCTCCCTCTCCCTCTGCCCCTTGTGTGCACGCGTGCACACATTCTCTATGACTCTCTCGCTCATGAATAAATAAAATCTTTAAAAAAAATAAAAATAAAAAATAAAGTACCACTATCTCAAAAGGAAAATAAAAAAAGCATGTTTTCAGATTAAAAAAAAAAAACATTTTCAGGATAAAGTACTAGGCTTCCATATTACTTAGGAGCTGAGATAAAAATATAAAAAATGAGAAAAAGACCCTTCTCAACTAACCACCTGAGACTCTTACAAACTAATAGGAAAGCAGACACTTCTCACTAAGAGATGCCTAACTGCTCAGTTATGAAGCACAGTTGACCAAAGAGTATTGCAGAAACCCTCAAAACTGTAACAGCGATGAACTTGAATGCAAGGTTGTCAAATCATTGTCAATTCCTAAATCTAGAGCTAAATTACACAACAATTAGTTCTGAAAACGGATCTGAGAGAGGAATGTACAGAAAGCCTGTTGGCACAAACTACCTGCTTGCCTGGCACCTGCATGTTGGTCTTTCTGTTTACTGGGCTGCAGGTCCATATCTTCATCATCTTCGTAACTCCTCTTGTGACGACTGGGAGTGTAGGACGTTGAAGGACTAACTCGAGCTTGGTTTGCATTAACATAGGCGTTAAATGAAAAGTTAAGGAAAATCTGCCATGACTTGAGGAATATACCAATTACAGGGCTAATAAAAGATTATTATTAATAAAAGATAAAAGATTCTAATAAAAAAGGCAATTTGGTTAAAATTAAAACATCCTTTTAAAAGACTGGACTTCCAGTTTTGATCATGAGAGTAGCAGCTTAACCTCATGCCCCCTACCTGTGCTATAAAGAAATTGTACAACTGGACAAAAGACTTAAGCAACTGTTTTCAGTCACTGAACACCGTAAGGGAACATAAGGTTATAATCCTTGAATAAGGAAACACACCGGTAAACTCCACAATCTTCCCAGTTTTCTCTTGGGAACATTTCCTAAACTGCAACAAAGAGAAGTGAAGGCCCTGCCCTTGCTGGGTAGAGAAACCGACCGCACAGTTCACGGCTACTGAGCAACTGGAAGTTGCAAGACAGTAACAGAGAGGCGAGAGTTGCAGATAAAGACCCAGAAACCTGTGCAGGTTCCATCTGGGTCTCTGGCTGAACATAAAACCATGGATGTACAAGTCCTTGAGGGCTAGCAGGGAACAGCTGCTAGTTGGCTGGGAGTTAAGTGGAGATTCTGGATTTGTACAATACTGGAACTGGACCCTCATGAACATCTTGGGCACTTAGGTGTGACCCAGAAATAGCATATCTCATGAGTAAGGACTACGTCCTACAGGCCAAGGGCTATTCCATACCCACCTTAAATCCCAAAATCAAGCCATGACGTCAAAGTGATGCACTCAAATCACCTGCCTGTCGGAACAAAATGCCACATTCTTGGAAAACAAAACCAAACTCTACAATGCTGTACATCAGCATACAGGAACACATTACTAGTTATATATGAAGAGGCAAGAAAATATGACTTACAATCAGGATTAAAAATAATCAATAAAAACAAACGCAGAGATGACTCTGATATTGGTATTAGCAGACAAGGACACTAAAAAGACAATCTAAAATTCACCATTTTTTTTATATATAGCCTTTATTACGTTGAGGTATGTTCCCTCTAAACCTTAAAATTTACAATTTTAAAAGTCAAGATAGACAAGGTGCACCTGGGGTGGCTCAGTTGGTTAAGCATCTGCCTTTGGCTCAGGTCATGATCCCAGGGTCTGGGATGGAGTCCCCCATCACGCTCCCTGCTCAGCAGGGAGTCTGCTTCTCCCTCTCCCTCTGCCCCTCCCCAATGCTCGTGCTCACTCTCTCTCTCAAATAAACAGTTAAAATCTTAAAAACAGATAGAAGAGGGCGCCTGGGTGGCTCAGATGGTTAAGCGTCTGCCTTCGGCTCAGGTCATGATCCCAGCGTCCTGGGACCAAGTCCCGCATCGGGCTCCCTGCTCCTTGGGAGCCTGCTTCTCCCTCTGCCTCTCTCTCAATCTCTCTGTCTCTCATGAATAAATAAATAGAATCTTTAAAAAAAAAAAAAAACAGATAGAGGAGTCAAAGATGAGGAATGTTAGCAGGGAAATGGGAACAATGAAAAAGAACCAAATGAAAAATCAAAAACTGAAAAATAAGATATCTGAAATGAAAAACAAAACCAAAAAAACCCCAGAATCTCAGTCACCTGGAGGACAGTAACATCTAATGATTATGTGACTGAATCCCCAGAAAATGAGACAATGACAAGAGACTGGGACAGAAAAACATTTGAAGAAATAAAGCTGAAACCTGAAAAATACCAGGCCACAGATCCAAAACTTCAAAAATACCCAAGCAAGATAAACACAAAAATACCCACACCCAGCCACATCACAGTCAAACTGCTGAAAACCACAGAGAGAAAGAGAGAACATCAGAAGCAGCCGGAGAAAAATCAAAGATGTTACACACAAGGATACAGTAAAATGATGGCTACCGTTTCATCAAAAAGCAATGGGGGCCAGGGGCACCTAGGTGGCACAACTAGTTGAGCATCTGATTCTCAATTTCGGCTCAGATCATTATCTCAGGGTCGGGGATTGCAAACAGAAGGGGCGCCTGTGTGGCTCAGTCGTTAAGTGTCTGCCTTCCGCTCGGGTCATGATCCCAGGGTCGGGATCGAGCCCCGCCTCGGGCTCCCTGCTCGGCGGGGAGCCTGCTTCTCCCTCTCCCACTCCCCCTGCTTGTGTTACCTCTCTTGCTGTCTCTCTGTCAAATAAATAAATTCTTAAAAAAAAATAAAGCAAACAGGATAATATATTGTGGGCTCTAAGTTTAAGTACAAATGAAGTGTATGACAACAGCAGCACAAAGAATGAGGGGGATGAATGGAAGTAAACTGTTGTAAAGATAAAGGAACAAAGAAGAAATCACAAGGAAAATTAGAAAATATTTTGAGTTGAATGATGGTGAAAACAAATCAAAGTCTGTGGAATGCAATCAAAGCAGTGATTAGAAAGAAATGTATAGCCTTCAATGATAATACAAGAAAGGGAAGATTTGAAATTAATGATCTGAGCATCCACTTTGAGAAGCCAGAGAAAAACTGAAGCCAAACTAGCATAAAAAAATAAGAGCAAAAGTCAATGATAGAAAACAGAAAATTAAACAGTTGGTTCTTCGACAAACCACCACCAACACTGATCAAGAATAAAAGAAAAATTAATTAACATTACTGGAAATGAAAAGAGATTACTGCTAGATATCCCCCAGACATGAAAAGGAAAACAAGGAAATATTATGAAAAGCTTTGTTACTGACATAAATTCAGTAACTGAGACTAAATGATTTTGAAACAATTCCTTGAAAGATACAACTTATCACAACTGATGCACAGAAAAAACTGTTAAAAAACCCAGCTGAAAATCTTCTCACAAAATGCCAGCCCCCAAACTGGAAACCCAAATGCTCATCAAGTGGAAAAGATATAAACAAATAAAATCAGCAATAAAAAGGAACGAGCAACTCACACACACACACACACACAAGAATGAATCTCAAATGTGTTATGGAGAACAAATATCAGACACAAAAGACTCTGTATGATTCCATTTTTTGGCACACAGAAAAGGTAAAATGAAGCTACAGTGAAAGAAATCAGGACAGTGGTTACAAAAGGAGAGTGAGGTGCCTGGAAAAAGACACAAGGAAACTTTCTGGCACAAGTTCTTTACTTTTACGGGTGTAAATTAAATGGGTGTGCACTTGTCCGCTGAAGTGCACCCTTAAAATCTATGCATCTCAGGTATGTGTGAACTATGCCTAAAAAAATTACTAACTAAAAAAATAAAATTAAAAAAAAATAAAAAGGATACCAAGATGTTTCAACATCTCTCAAAAGAGCCAATATGTTGTTTTCCCTTAAGAAATGCAGAATTAGGGGGCGCCTGGGTGGCTCAGTTGGTTGGACGACTGCCTTCGGCTCAGGTCATGATCCTGGAGTC